CATATGGTCGATCCTTCCAAGTTGTAACGCACGCTCGTCGTCGAGAAGGCTCAGCCCCTCAGTAGATTGGTAGTTCTCATACATGAACCTGCGTTCGTTTCTCATGGAGTGGGCTTCGTAATTATTCCAACGGCCGTGAGCCTCAGCGATCTGTTGATCGAGGCCTTGCATATCACCCCTTTTGGGGTAGTCCGATCCATCGAACCCATCACGAGTTAACCTGAAAGCATCCTTTCCTTTAGGAATGCGCTGGTCAAAGTAGGAGCGGCGCTGACCCGAAACAAGGTCCACTGACTTGCGATGCGGGTCACCGTGATCGAACATAGCCTGAGGAACGCCGCCGTATCCACCCATGATGCCTTCCCTTGGTCCATTGACGAAGTCGCGGATGCCAGCGTTATGCTGCATGGGTGGATGTGAATCAACAAACTTAAATCGTGGAGGGTCCATTTTACATGCCGCAACCCCCTTCTCTTGGTAGAGCTTCTGGAAATGCATCATGAGTTGCAAGAGGTAAGTCTTGTCGTATACACCTTCCGATGCTGCTTTTTGTGGCGCATCTGGAGGTACAACAATTTTTTGCAGCTCCTCCGGTGTATCGTTAGTTGCAGAAGCTATTTCCACACCTGTGCTAGGTGGTTGTAGCCTCATATCGTCGAAACCTTTTGGTTCGGCTAAGGGTTTCAAGTCCGAAAAATCCTTAGGATCTACCAATGGCCTCGAACCAGAAAATAATCTTCTATCTGAAAATAACCTCCCCTTTGCAGGTAACTTGGAGTCTGCGAAGCTTCTCGAATCCCTGAAAGACTGATTGTCATCCATGGATCGTCGGTGCTCTTGGCCCCTGTTAAAGCTGGAGGCTTTTCCATCACTGGGTGCGTGACGACGGAGTGGTTCACTCCGCTCTTGGTTGGTGGGATGAGATGCTCCAGGTTCAGGTATAGAAGTCAACTGACCATCATTGCGGTTCTCCTGCTCGCCCTTGGAGGACTTGGCAAATATATTGGCGGAACCGCCGAACGGCCGAGGATGAAACATCCTCCGATGCTCATGAATTGGGCTGTGGCGCCCAATACATCACGCAAATAAAAGGAACCGAACCGCTAAAAATACGGTGATAATAGCGGCAGTGATATAAATGAACTTTGAGACGGTGGCGACACGCGAATGTTCCCAGAAGCCAGGGTGGTGGTGCCTTTACATGCCCACCGGTGGTTACCGACTCTAGGAACTTTGACAATGTATAAAGCGGTGTGATTGTGTATCGATTTTTTTGTGTTGGTTTTAACTTGTAACCGCCGTTCAACCCATCTAGCCTAGAGCCAGACACCCCACACATCGACGTTTCGTGGTTGCCGTGGCCGCAAAACAGTAGCAGGAAGCACAGGGGGGCGAGGAAAGTTAAATAACCACACGAATTGTGGAGGTAAGCCCGCCAATTGCCTTAGGAAGCGACCAGTCACTGTCTGTACAACTGCCAAGACGCGTCAATTTCTGCGTCTGCTTCGGCAATGCCCTCCTCAAGCTCGCGTATGATTCCTTCATAGTGTTCTATCATGTTTCGGTCTGCAGTGTGAATGATGTGCCGTTTCTAGACCTACCGTAGTGCAAACGCTCTTCTAGTGACATGGAATCCAGCGTTTTCTGAACGACGGCAAAGCGATCGTGGTTACTTTTCCTACACATTATTTTATAAGAATGATTGTCACCGTACTTGGCACGCTGCAGAGTGTCGGAGCGAATTCGTTCGAGACTGGAGCACGGAGAACGTATCTTGTTCATTGCGTCACTCAAACCTTTGATTATTCATATAGAGCATACGTGATGCAGACACCCACCTTCCATGTGAGCTAACGTATTAGCCGTGCGCTTGGTATCGTCATCGTCTTTTGCTACGATGATGATCGGCTGACCTGCTAAATCTGTACAAATAATGAACCTTAGGAACACTGTAACTCACGAGGGAAGCGCGCGTCGTGCTCTACGCGTAGTGTTTTTCCAATAGATGCGATTTTTTTCAACAATTCGCGCTTTCTATCATTCAATTCTTTTACCCTGTCGAGCTTTACGTGGCCTATCTCCTCTCGGATTCGATCCTCTTCCCTGAGCAGCATAACCTCCGTCGCGAGGTGGCCAAAACATACTTCACTATGCCATCGAGGGTCTTACGTGACTCAGTATTAGTCTTTGCACTCTGCTCCAGTTTTCCAGCGGCTGCCGAGAGCTCCTTTTTCACTGCGACGTCGTTGGTGATGTCGCGAATCTCGGACTCTATATCAGCCGCAGTGGGTTCTTCGATATTATGTGCGTCATTTTGAAGTTTGTGCGATGAATGGGACACTTCAGGATTGTCATTGCAGCCAACTAGGCGCAAACTGTATGCTGCGATACTTGAGATTAGTGTGTACACAGAAGCAACAGCAACCATGGCTGTCTACATCTTTTATCTGATAATAATTCAGGGGAATGTGTGAATTTTAATCCGAGATAGTAAAGTGGATGCCACTATGCCATATAACATGTACACATAACCTCACACACAACGGTGACCACAGAAGGACGATGAAGCTTCACAATATACAGAACGCATAAGTAAATTCGGAAGTTAAATGGAATTAAAATACTGTAATGAAGCTTGTATAAACCGGATTGTACTGCCGTTTTACCAGTTCTCACTATCGTTTGTAGTCATGTTAACAATGGCTTTCAGCATAGTGACATTTGATTTACGATTTGTCGTTGTTATTATCTCTGTAAATTGTTCATATGTAATATTACAATGATATAATCTGACGAAATACCCTGGTTCATGCGTCCGCAAGTAACTAAGCAATGATAAACAGGCATGGAAAAGTACTCATCACTTGAGTAAAGTGGTATCACCATCGTACAATCTATCACCTTTAGATATTGCAAATATCTAGAATACAGCATTAGTGTAAGGAATACAGAAACCTACAGTATGAGGCAAATGTATAACGATGTATGGCTCGGGTATAGGAGACACAGTGCCCCAAATTTTTATAGCCAAATGTACTTCAACTAGACCACTATATCCACATAGTTACTACAAAATGTGAGTATATTCTTCGTTTAACGATCATGCTCTATTGAATCTATACACCAGGTGACCATGCTTGTGGCACTCGGCAAACAAGGCACTACTTAAATTTAGCTTTACAAAACACAGGTCCAGCACAATTATTTAGATAACTAGTGATGTAACTGGAATCATGACGCCTAAATTAACATTCTGATTAACACCTGAGATGCGAACAACGGACGTGTCTAGCATCGTCACTTATTTACCTTCCTTTAGGCATACACGCAAGAGTGGGTACAACTTACTGACTATTGTGATTGTCAGATGAAAGGTATAGACATTCTCATCGCTGTCAGTAGAAGTGAGTAGTACCTTTGACCCCTCGACGACCAGGGTGAAGATAATCTGGGGTTCGTTGATTTTATGACGTTCATCAACGCAAAAATTTTTTGGATTGATTTCATGACTAGTATACCTAGGAATCTATCCTGATCATGAAGTAAAAGGCTTGAAGGAACGGTTAAAACGACGGAAAACATGTCGTTTGTGTAACTCTGTTTTTTTCTAGGTCATCTTTTAGTTATTTCATGAAGGCTAACAACTATTCGACGTTTTCACAGCTTCTTTGGTTGAAACCGACTCTCATATCTTTGGCTACCTGGTCCGTTATCGCTTGCGTAAGGTAGATAGGAGACTTGGCCCTTTCTACGTTCGCAGATTTTGTGATTAAACAACTTATAGGTACGTGTATTCTATACTCCAGATGGCAGCAAAGGACATTTTAGTTGCAAAAGGCTGTCGCAGGCATACCAGAAGTATAAACAACGTTCCCACTATTTTGTGAAATGAGTATGCAAGGGCACGATTCATAACCCAAAGTGGCATATGATCCGACAATGGGAGAAGGGTATTGGAGTTACTTCAGACGATTATTCACATCGTCTATGATTGCTATATGCTGGAAGACACAAGGGAACTTCGTTATCATGTTCTTTTCGAAGTTATGAAAATAATCATGATGTGAGACCCCTGAAACATCGGGGGGCTATTTGATGTAGGCAATATCATCAACATCTAGTAAGAATATGGCAAAAAACGATAATAATCTTAACTTAATAGCTTATGTGCATTCTTCATATAATTAAAGTTGCTCAATTTAGTTTCAACTGTCATTGAAAATCTCTTATTCATCCCACAACTACGGCCAGTGCTGCGGGGCACAACCAAGCATTAAAACTTTTCTATGAGCAAGTTTGGTTCCATGATAATCACTTGTATGTCAACAGACGTGGTTAAGATAGCCATAGGCAATGTTTGTTATCCATAGTTGAAGGGTTCATTCTCCCTTGATACAGCAAAAGTATTAGGGAATAACAAAATCGATGTTAAAAGAAATAAGTTTCTTACAAGGGTGTAGCACTGTCAAACGGATCATGACGTCGCACATTTAAACACAAAAATGAATATAAAAACCTAAATGGCACTGAGTTGAGAAAATATATATCGGTTAGGCGGGGTGGAAAACACAGTGAAAATTTGATAGGTCCTACGGTGCGCATACATTATAGCGTATTAAAAGAAAGACCATGTCCTTACCATGAAGCTTATGTTTAATATATGTCTATCAGATGCGACATGTTTGGCTAATTGTGCAGCGTAAGTTTTACGCCGATTAAATCTAAGTAATTTCTGATGTTGAATCATTACATCTTTGCAAAAGCATTTCTGCTACTACGTTTCGATAAAGCATGTTTTCTATTCAAGAAATACAGCCATTAATTTCTCAAATGATGAGAATACTAATAGGTACATAGCTTAATAACCCATCCAACTCTGTATTGTTCTCGTGGAAAAATCTAACGAAATATTAAAACACTAGATGATTAATGTTGCTACACTGATGTCTTCGAAAATATTAAGTATTTTTAAGAGTGCAGTTAGCTCAATTTTGTCTAAACTAGCACCAAAATAATATTTCCTTTTTATAAAAATTGCAGGAGGCGAACACTGTAGTACTAGAGAGCTTTATGTGGGCTGCTCCGTATATCAAAGCGTCATTTGGTGCAATTCTTTTTACTAGTTTATTGGGATTTCCTGAGATTCGTTATGAAGAGGCTAGGTCTTGATTCTTACTCACCTTGTTCGTCCGATGTGTAAGCAAATGCTCCATCGTAACACCCTGCGATATGTACGGTATCCTCATCGAGAAAATCCATGAACCACACTGCTCCGTCAAGTTGAGATGTCGATATTGGCATATTCATATTGCGCATATCGAATCGCATAAGTTGACGGTCGAAGCTGTTGTGTGATTTTTTAGATGTGTATTAATATCTCACCTTCCGGTGTAAAGTAGATTGGTATTCCGCTTGTTAAACTGCAGAGCGGTTACTCCGGATGAATTACTACATTGATTTGATCAACAACTCTCTTTGGACTCACTGGTTGAGTCTACGAACTGGCGCTGTACCTTCCCTTCTGTCAAAGACTTTAATTGAGCTATCGTCAGCCCCTGCATGTTTCGTGAATTATACAACGACATTATAATACCCGTCATCAGTATATTTGTGTTGTCTGGTTGAAATACGCTAATCCACGTTTCCACATCATGTGCTTTCCTGCGCCAGCTGACGCCTGATGATTTTAACTTTTACCATTTTTGCGTCACAATACCATCTTCAACAATGTATACGTTTCCATCTGATGCCGTTACCGAACACAAACTGTATAAGGGTGTTAGATGACTTATACTGAATAGACCTACCTTAAGCCGTCATCGTGACAACTTAGCGACAATCCAACTGCGTCACTCTGAGGGTCCAGACTTATCTCATCGATAGCTTTAAAAGAGAGATTCTCGTCTGTATCAGTAGCAAGTTGCAATGTATTAATCGAGAGATTCGCCGTGACGCAAGCTGCCGCGTAATGCTGCATTATATTCATCGGATTTGCAGGCGCCTACATCTTGCGTCCTTATCCATGAGCATGATAGCACTCCTGGTAGGTCATGCTGTGCTATCGAAAAATTTAGTGCATTGTTATCGTGTTCGTTATCTCTCTTCAACAACCTAGCATAACTGTAATGATATTAAGTCTACCGTACGTTTCCAATGCACGGCAAGGTTTGAATGCGATTATACTGCCGCTGCGTTTTCTGGAAGCTGAGTCGTAGTTGTATGTTGCAGCAAGAAAGGTGCCTTTTAATGTATCATCTGCAGTGTATTGAAGATTTCTGAAGAAGGACTACCTTCAAATAGGTCATGAGGAAAGACTTTGAGACAATCAGGCTGTCCATTGGTGTCAATCTTATGTATTAATACCCCGTTTTGGTCAAGTTCCATAGCTATGCTGGCGCCGTTTGAAGTATGTACCCCTAATGTCATTTAAGGTACATCGAGTCAACTCGTTGTATGTGTATCTACGCGTCACCAAAGGATAAACACAACTAGGTTTGTTTCATAAATACCTGTTATTTGGTATTCTTCGAGGGTATTTTTGTTTAGTGAGACGACGAATGTGGCTGTGTGAAGTTTGATGCGAGCGATGTGTAACGCACCATAGATATCGCTAGCATCCTCTCCGTTGGCATCTATTGATTCTGATTATGACGGGATATGTGTGATGTTAAAAAGGTGTATATATCTTACAGTCCATTCCCTGGTCTGTCATCACATATGAACTTTGTGGCCTTCCCGAGTGCAAGATCATTGGATTTTTTTAGATATACGATATTTCTTCTGCTGCAGTTCATGGCATTATTTCTATATAATCTCTTGTGATACCTTATAGGACAATGAAGTTCGGAGCGAAACTGCAGACCTTCATCGTCCCTGAGTGGTCGGACAAATATATCCGTTACAAGGAACTCTCTCGCCTGGCCAAACGTGCCAGTCGTATCAATTCGGGAAAAATCCCCGGTGTAGATGACGATACTGAGCGGGATATGTTACAAAAGCTTTTCAACGTAGAATGTCATACCTCTTATCAGCGAAGTACTACGCTGTCCGGTCGATCTAGAAGTGAATGTCGGTCTGAGCCCAATGATATTACCCCTATCCATAGACCATCATCGTCTGCTAATTTTCATACCAGTGAGCAAATCGTGGTGAGTATACCCGAAGAAGATGGCTCCGGCAGCGCTTCCAACACTGATGATGGTGAGCGTCGAAAGCAAAGGACATCCCACCTCCCGCCTTTGCCAAAAGACGTTTCAGATCATAGTGGTGCGGTCAAAGATGTTGTAAACCATTATGAGAAGCATGGACACGTGTCTTCTCCTAATTTGGAGCCTAGCTCTGAGGCCTTGACCTATTTGCATGTTCAGCTTCAAAAGCTGGGACGCGTTCCGTATTCCTGTACAGTCGATACTGATAATTTAGTACCATCTAGTGATGGTCAAGATGACTCTATAAATTCTGTCGATGGAGTTTCAACTGGTCCCTCGGAGGGCCCAATCGTTCAAAAGAGCGGTAAACATGGCGTATCACTGGGTGATACTCAGCCCGAATTTGACCGAATCAATGTGTTGGACATTTTGAAGGACAATGCTTCTTCACGTAAATCTGTGTCGCGCGACGTTTGGTGTTGTTCCATGGGTTGTTCGTTTTGTTCCGCTAGTAAAGGCGCGACATCTCGCTTCAACTTACGTAAAAACACAAATGTGATGGACGACGAATCACTTTCCGTGTTTAACAAAGTTCTTCGGGACGACATCCGCGTGGTTATGATCCACTACGTTACCGAGCTTGACTACATTAAGTCCTTGGTGCGGTTCCTCAAAGCTGATATAGCCCGTCGTGGCGGCAAGCTGGACGATTCGTATGCTGGTCTTATTCGTAAAGCTTGTACAGCTTTTTGGGACTCTTGCGATAAATTAAAGCTTTACCTGAACTTGAACACACTTGCCGTTTTTAAAGTGCTTAAAAAAAAGGATAAGTTATTATCAACTAGCGATGTGTTCAACCTTTTCCCTATGTACAAGAGCATTATGCTTTCCGTTGAGACTTCTCAAGGTGTGTTAGAAGACGTTATCCAGATATACAATTTACTGATGGATAATCCTGTGGTCGACTTTGGTGTGTTGAAGACTGACATAGAGACGACTTTAGACAGCTTGCGTTCGAAGCCAGCGCACGGTTTATTTTTTGTTTATGGCTTATGTACTGTTTTATTAGTGAATTCATTGTTTTTCTGTTCTTTTAGTTTTCCTTTGCCATTTGATCTCAACATTTTGTTATCTCAGATTGCTACCTTTCGATTTTTTTTCACAATGTCAGTTCTATGGTGGGGGTTTGGTTGGTGTCAGAATTACCTCGAGACTTATGGCGTGAACTATCAGTTTCAGTTTGGCCTGAGTAGTAACTACTCCGCAACTGATAAGGATTATTATCAGCTGGGTGCAGGTCAGACTTTTTCATGTTTATTGTTATTTGTGTTATTTTTGTTAGATTGCAGGTTGCACATTGTGCCACCGCATCACCTTTACTTTTTGTATCCTATTACGTTAGTGGCATTGCATTTGATAATTGTGATGTGGCCTAACCGTAACCTTAAATTGAAGCTTCGTAAACGTTTATTATTTGCTATATTTCGGGTTTTAGGGGCACCTTTCGGTGCTGGTGAAAAGATAACTTTGGGTGACAGTATTATTGCTGATGTGATGACATCCTTAACTCGTCCTTTACGTGACATGGTTTTTATGATTACATATTTTTTGTTTGGTATGACATCTGATCACAAAATTCCATCTCCTGTAATACAGGCATGGATTGTTCCTGCAGTGATGTGTTATCCCTATATAATTCGTTTTTCTCAATGTTTTCGTCGTTATATTAAGGAGAAACGGTGGTTACATGTTGGTAACATGGCTAAATACCTTTCAGGTATATTATGTGTTGTTGTTTCTTCTATTGATTGGGTCTATATTTTTGGTATGCAAGAGTGGCAACGTCATTTTTTGGTTGTATCATTTTATGTGTTTGCTACTTTGTTCCAATGTTGGTGGGATTATGTGATAGATTGGGGTTTGGATTTAAATTGGAATATTTTTAAGAGACGTCAGAACCGTCATATGTATCGTCGTGAGGCATATTTTTGTGCTGTTTTCTTTAATATGTTGTGTCGCTGCACATGGGCTTTTACTACAATTCCATTTTCTCTGTTGAAAAATGAGGAACTTTCTTTGGATATTGTGAGTCTTATAGTCTCAGTGATTGAGATAGTTCGTCGTGTGGTGGTAAGTGTCAGTAGCGTCACCTTAATTTTTGTCAGTGGGTCACATTCCGTCTCGAGAGTGAGCACTTGCTCAACTCTTACAAGTACCGTACGGCTTTGTGGGTGCCTAAGCTGTACAACTGCAAGAATTTGATCGTAAAGGAGATGAAGATGCTTAACGAGCAGCTTTGAGCCCCCTGGGTGATCACAGCTTGTCAGTTAGATTGTTACTTGGATTATCAGGTCTTTACGGGTCACATATCTGGGTTAGGTATGATTTCTAAGACGGCTAATCTGTATACAGTTTCTTAAACCATTTACATTTATGGGCATGTGTATGCTCCTCGTGTGTTATATTTTGGTATTTGTTGTTTGATTTTTAACGCGTGGGTGTGCGGTAGCCGCGCCCAAGCTAGCGTCGCTGGGCGACGGCCTCTATGGCAGGAGCCACGTTAAAATACGTTAATAATATTTAAAGGCGACAATTGTCCGCATTGTGCCTCCTTAGCCCTATATACGGCGTACACGGTCGCACAGATGCTATTGTAAACTTGGTGTAACCTTGTTGTATAGAGCGACATAATTGAGCTCCAGAGTAGGAACTCTTGGTTTTTTACATCGATGCCATATTTTCTGTAACAAATATTCGCGTTGTCTTGGGGTGTCACATTTGAGTCGTGGTGTGACGATTTTTTGAGGTCATGTAGACCTTACATTCTACCTGGATGATTTGTACGTTTTTAAAAACTTCGACTGTATTATAGACGACACCATGGCTGTTTGATGGATGAGGGATGTAAGTTGATTAGGATATTTTTTTCCGCTCACGATGACCTCCCCTCGCCCTGACCATCAGGACGCGGAAGCGTCCTACAATTGTTCTGGCCCTGCGCAGCCTGTCGTATATTATGAACCTCAGTATCAGCCATCTGAGGCGGATATCGCACCCGAGTTGGGAGAAAATGCGCAATCAACTCAGACGACGTCACCGACGACGTTCACATTGCTGCAATACCTAAACTCAACACCGCTACAAAATGTGGTTGCAGCGCCAACGGGTATGCACGAGGATAGAGAAATTGAGCGCATTATATCCAATCGTAATTTCCTCATTCGGTGCATCATCTATTCACACCTTTTCGCCGCCTTGCTAGTCTCAGGGTTGATTGCCTGGACAATTGTAGGTTATGAAATAAGGCTATACGAGTGGCAGCCACGTCCGTCAGAATGCTTGTTGTTTTTCTGGTTGGTACGTGTACTGCTCAAGATTTGCATGAATGTATGGTCGATACACTACCACTCGCGAACCATGTCAGATCCGCCTACATTGGGTCACTTAGTGAAGGCTTACGATGTTGCGAGTTGTATATGGCTGATTTTCGCACTTTACTATACAGTGCTGAATCCACGTGAGAGCATGAGCGCATTTTCTACTAAGATGTGCTTTTTCCTCATTTGGATTACTATTGCCTGTTACATCAGTCCTATGCTTACGTACACATTGTTATGCTTGATCTTATACCCTGTGATTTTTTACATTATTCGCCTGCGAAACCATGGCAGCCTTTCCCCGGGACTGGGGAAAAAAGTGCTGAAGATGATTGATGTGGACCGTTTCGACGCTGTCGTCGCTCGACTACGAAAAGGCGAAGCGAAACTCTCTAAGAGCAACGGGACAGAGACCAAAGATCGCAGTGCGGTTAACGGGTCGATTTCTGTTGTTACTGTGAGGGACGGTGACGGCGAGGCTCCGGAAAGCGCTAACGTCACTCCTAGGGAGTCTCAACCCAACACCACGAGTGATATCGACCGCTTGTGTGCTATTTGCATTATGGTAAGTTTCTGCACCGTCGACTTTCACAGTTACATAGGAGATCGAAGATAGCGACAAGGTCTACATCATGCCCTGCGACATACGCCACTTTTTCCACAGGGACTGCTTGAAGAAGTGGTTCAAACGCAGTAGAATTTGCCCTATATGCCGGCTGAACATAGCTGACCTCCTGAAAGAGGCGAAGGCGACTGCTGCCGCGTAAGCTGTTTTCAGAGAATGCCAAACACCTTCTTGAGGTGGATTACCACCTTCCAGGCATCCTGGAGACACATTTCAATCACTACCTTTTAAACT